CTCAGAGCAGCAGAGTATATACACAGAGCAGCAGAATATATACACTGAGAGCAGCAGAGTATATACACAGAGCAGCAGAGTATATACACAGAGCAGCAGAGTATATACACAGAGCAGCAGAGTATATACACAGAGCAGCAGAGTATATACACAGAGCAGCAGAGTATACACACTGAGAGCAGCAGAGTATACACACTGAGAGCAGCAGAGTATACACACTGAGAGCAGCAGAGTATATACACAGAGCAGCAGAGTATATACATTGAGAGCAGCAGAGTATATACACTGAGAGCAGCAGAGTATACACACTGAGAGCAGCAGAGTATATACACAGAGCAGCAGAGTATATACATTGAGAGCAGCAGAGTATATACTCAGAGCAGCAGAGTATATACACAGAGCAGCAGAATATATACACTGAGAGCAGCAGAGTATATACACAGAGCAGCAGAGTATATACACAGAGCAGCAGAGTATATACACAGAGCAGCAGAGTATATACACAGAGCAGCAGAGTATACACACTGAGAGCAGCAGAGTATACACACTGAGAGCAGCAGAGTATATACACAGAGCAGCAGAGTATATACATTGAGAGCAGCAGAGTATATACACTGAGAGCAGGAGAGTATACACACTGAGAGGGAGCAGAGTATATACACAGAGCAGCAGAGTATATACATTGAGAGCAGCAGAGTATATACTCAGAGCAGCAGAGTATATACACAGAGCAGCAGAATATATACACTGAGAGCAGCAGAGTATATACACAGAGCAGCAGAGTATATACACAGAGCAGCAGAGTATATACACAGAGCAGCAGAGTATACACACTGAGAGCAGCAGAGTATACACACTGAGAGCAGCAGAGTATATACACAGAGCAGCAGAGTATATACACAGAGCAGCAGAGTATATACACAGAGCAGTAGAGTATATACACAGAGCAGCAGAGTATATACACAGAGCAGCAGAGTATATACACAGAGCAGCAGAGTATATACACAGAGCAGCAGAGTATATACACAGAGCAGCAGAGTATATACACAGAGCAGCAGAGTATATACACAGAGCAGCAGAGTATATACACAGAGCAGCAGAGTATATACACAGAGCAGCAGAGTATATACACAGAGCAGCAGAGTATATACACAGAGCAGCAGAGTATATACACTGAGAGCAGCAGAGTATATACACAGAGCAGCAGAGTATATACACAGAGCAGCAGAGTATATACACAGAGCAGCAGAGTATATACACAGAGCAGCAGAGTATATTTAGCTTTTTCATCTCTTTCTTCTTCGTCTTCTTTTTATATATTATACTCATGGGGAGAGCTAAACCCGTAGGGCATGAAAGGCACAAGCTGCGGGTCATCACGTGACTAAGACCCATGTCAGGAAACACTAGTTTCCTGTTTCCTGAAAAACGTGACCTGACCTGACCTGTCTCACTGTGTTGTGGGAAGTTTGTGTGTTGTGGGAAATTTGTCTGTGTGTTGTGGGAGGTTTGTCTGTTGTGGAAGGCTTGTCTGTTGTGGGAAGCTTGTCTGTTGTGGAAGGCTTGTCAGTAGTGGGAGGTTTGCCTGTTGTGGGAGGTTTGTCTGTGTGTTGTGGGAGGCTTGTCTGTTGTGGAAGGCTTGTCTGTGTGGGAGGCTTGTCTGCTGTGGGAGGTTTGTCAGTAGTGGGAGGTTTGTTCTGCTGTGGGAGGTTTGTCAGTAGTGGAGGTTTGTCTGTTGTGGGAGGTTTGTTTGTGGGAGGTTTGTTGTCGGACGTTTGTCTGTTGTGGAAGGCTCGTCTGTTGTGGGAGGCTTGTCTGTTGTGGGAGGTTTGTCAGTAGTGGGAGGTTTGTCTGTTGTGGGAGGTATGTCTGTTGAGGGAGGTTTGTCTGTTGTGGGAGGTTTGTCTGTTGTGGGAGGTTTGTCTGTTGTGAGAGGTTTGTTTGTGGGAAGTTTGTCTGTTGTGGAAGGCTTGTCTGTTGTGAGAGGCTTGTCTGTTGTGAGAGGTTTTTTGTTGTGGGAAATTTGTCTGTGTGTCTGTGTGTTGTGGGAGGTTTGTCTGTGTGTTGTGGGAGGTTTGTCTGTGTGCTGTGGGAGGTTTGTCTGTTGTGGAAGGCTTGTCTGTTGTGGGAGGCTTGTCTGTAGTGGGAGGTTTGTCAGTAGTGGGAGGTTTGTCTGTTGTGGGGAGGTATGTCTGTTGTGGGAGGTTTGTTGTGGGAGGTTGTCTGTTGTGAGAGGCTTGTCTGTGGGAGGTTTGTCTGTTGTAGGAGGTTTTTCTGTTTTGGGAAATTTGTCTGTGTGTTGTGGGAGGTTTGTTGTGGAGGTTTGTCTGTTGTGGGAAGTTTGTTGTGGGAAGTTTGTCTGTGTTGTGGGAGGTTTGTCTATTGTGGGAAGTTTGTTGTGGGAAGTTTGTCTGTGTGTTGGGGGGAGGTTTGTCTGTTGTGGGAGGTTTGTTGTGGAATTGGTGTGTTGTGGGAGGTTTGTTGTTGTGGGAAGTTTGTTGTGGGAGGTTTGTCTGTGTGTTGTGGGAGGTTTGTCTGTTGTGGGAAGTTTGTTGTGGGAGGTTTGTCTGTGTGTTGTGGGAGGTTTGCCCTGTTGTTGGGAAGTTTGTTGTGGGAAATTTGTGTGTTGTGGGAGGTTTGTCTGTTGTGGGAAGTTTGTTGTGGGAGGTACGTCTGTGTGTTGTGGGAGGTTTGTCTGTTGTGGGAAGTTTGTTGTGGGAGGTACGTCTGTGTGTTGTGGGAAGTTTGTGTGTTTAAGCTCGGTGTCGGGAGTTGTTCTAAAGAAAATTCTTACTTTAAATAAGAGACCAGTTGACTGTGGACATCTTGCGAGGTAACGGACCCGAGAACAGTAACTCAGACGTAACTTTACTGAGAACAATAACTCAGACGTAACTTTACTGAGAACAGTAACTCAGACGTAACTTTACTGAGAACAATAACTTAGACGTAACTTTACTGAGAACAATAACTTAGACGTAACTTTACTGAGAACAATAACTTACACGTAACTTTACTGAGAACAATAACTTAGACGTAACTTTACTGAGAACAATAACTTAGACGTAACTTTACTGAGAACAATAACTTAGACGTAACTTTACTGAGAACAATAACTTAGACGTAACTTTACTGAGAACAATAACTCAGACGTAACTTTACTGAGAACAATAACTCGGGACTTTAACTTTACTGATACAATAACTTAGACGTAACTTTACTGAGAACAATAACTTAGACGTAACTTTACTGAGAACAATAACTCAGACGTAACTTTACTGAGAAAAATAACTTAGACGTAACTTTACTGAAAAAAAACGTCCCTTGTACTTTGATCAAGTTGTAAAAAAACTCTGAAATACGCGAGTCTGCTGAATCTCACTACTCTCGGAGCCCGGCCATGGGTCAGGCTCGTCTGGTTCTTACCTAGTCAACCAGTCTGTTGTTGCTGGAGGCCCGCTGCCACACTTATCCATCACAGCCTGGTTGATCTGGCTCCTGGAGAAGATACTTATCCAGTCTGATATCTTGTGGTAAGATGCTGAATGCATCCAGATTATTATAATATAAAAGAAGCGCTAAACGAATGCATCCAGAATGCATCCAGAATGCATCCAGAATGCATCCAGAATGCATCCAGAATGCATCCAGAATGCATCCAGAATGCATCCAAAATGCATCCAGAATGCATTCGTATCCATTTCCTTCCCTCAAAACTCTCATTGTTTTTTAATCATACCTAGTGCTTTGTCCAGGAACATGATGTACACCTGTCGGTCATGATGTACCTTCCAAAGTCATGATTACACCTGTCCAGGTACCCTGATGTACACCTGTCCAGGTACATGATGTACACCTGTCCAGGTACATGATGTACACCTGTCCAGGTACATGATGTACACATGTCCAGGTACTTGATGTACACCTGTCCAGGTACAAGATGTACACCTGTCCAGGTACTTGATGTACACCTGTCCAGGTACAAGATGTACACCTGTCCAGGTACTTGATGTACACCTGTCCAGGTACTTGATGTACACCTGTCCAGGTACTTGATGTACACCTGTCCAGGTACTTGATGTACACCTGTCCAGGTACAAGATGTACACCTGTCCAGGTACAAGATGTACACCTGTCCAGGTACAAGATGTACACCTGTCCAGGTACATGATGTACACCTGTCCAGGTAACATGATGTACACCTGTCCGAGGTACATGATGATACACCTGTCCAGGTACTTGATGTACACCTGTCCAGGTACTTGATGTGCACCTGTCCAGGTACTTGATGTACACCTGTCCAGGTACAAGATGTACACCAGTCCAGGTACTTGATGTGCACCTGTCCAGGTACATGATGTACACCTGTCCAGGTACTTGATGTACACCTGTCCAGGTACTTGATGTGACACCTGTCCAGGTACTTGATGTACACCTGTCCAGGTACTTGATGTACACCTGTCCAGGTACTTGATGTGCACCTGTCCAGGTACATGATGTACACCTGTCCAGGTACATGATGTACACCTGTCCAGGTACATGATGTACACCTGTCCAGGTACATGATGTACACCTGTCCAGGTACTTGATGTGCACCTGTCCAGGTACTTGATGTACACCTGTCCAGGTACAAGATGTACACCTGTCCAGGTACTAGATGTACACCTGTCCAGGTACATGATGTACACCTGTCCAGGTACATGATGTACACCTGTCCAGGTACATGATGTACACCTGTCCAGGTACATGATGTACACCTGTCCAGGTACATGATGTACACCTGTCCAGGTACTATGATGTACTACCTGTCCAGGTACTTGATGTACACCTGTCCAGGTACTTGATGTACACCTGTCCAGGTACTTGATGTACACCTGTCCAGGTACTTGATGTACACCTGTCCAGGTACTTAATGTACACCTGTCCTGGTACTTGATGTGCACCTGTCCAGGTACTTGATGTACACCTGTCCAGGTACTTGATGTACACCTGTCCAGGTACTTGATGTACACCTGTCCAGGTACTTAATGTACACCTGTCCTGGTACTTGATGTACACTTTTCCAGGTACTTGATGTACACCTGTACTAATATTTGACGTAAACCTGTCCAAGTACTTGACGTACAAGTATCCAGCTATCTAAGGTACAAGTGTCAATCACTCGATGTACATATGTACTAACAGGTGCGTGACAGTATCGCAGCTGCTCCTTGAATATGTGTTTAACGTCACACATCCTTGATACTCATCTCATATTATCTTACGGGAAATTACCTTTAAATATTTTAGTACCACCACTGCTTTGAGTACAATCATATAATATAGTATTAAACTGCCAAACACACACACAAAACAACATGCAAGGTTACTGGGGGAGGGAGAGAGAGAATAGCAGTTGCTTAACAGGGGGTTGAATAGGTACAAACAGGTAGGTAAATAGGTAGATAAGTAGCCAGGTGACTGTGTAGAAACACACTTGAACAACTACTTAAGAGGTATTGAGTGCGAGTTGTCAGGCAAGTGAGTGGTATTACCGTGAGTGGAAGTTATGAGTAGACTGGAGTGCTATTGGTACTAATGAGAGTGAAAGTGGATTGGAGTTCTACTGGTTCTAAGAGTGAAAGTGGACTGAAGTTCTATTGGTACTACTGAGTGAAATGGGACTGGAGTGCTATTAGCTCTACTGAGAGTGAGAGGGACAGAGGACTGGAGTGCAACTGTACTACTGGGAGTTGAAGTAGCCTGGAGTGTGAGTGGTGTTAATGTGAGTGGGGGTTCTAAGTGTGAGTAGAGTGGGGTGTGAGTGGTGCTGGACGAGGACTGGTTCCTACCTGCTGGTAGACAGTAAACCGCTACTATCTCATCACCTGCAAGAATTAAGTTAAGAAAGGATTTAATATCAAATTAACACTCGGGTGATTATTTTCTTGCTCTCTCTCTCTCTCTCTCTCTCTCTCTCTCTCTCTCTCTCTCTCTCCACACACACACACACACACACACACACACAAAACACCTGTAATTTAACAGACAAAGTCTTCATACTGAAGTCGTCGCACCTTAATCACAGCTCCTTTAATGAAGTCACAAAGCATTACACTCACATGTACGTATACAAATACACATACATACAGATATCACACATATATATAACACACACACACACACACACACACACACACCACACACACACACACACACACACACACGATGTGCCTAATAAGCAGAATGGATAATCTTGGATGATAAAACAGTCGCTTTGCCCAATAATCAGGGCAGTAATTCATTATTGAAAAACAGTAAAAATCAGTTGAAAATCAACAACGAACTGTAAAGAGCTCATTAATATTAAGTAATAATTATAAAATTAAACTCACTTAAGTTTAGTAGATTTAAGCTAAAATTAGTTTTGGTGGGAAATATCAATAAATGATTCCTGTGATGTACCTGTGACTAGTTTCAAGGGTTTTTTTTTTTTTTTTTTTTTTTTTTTTAGCTCTGGCAGGTCAGCCTAGGGTCAGCAACCAGGTTGTTGCTGTTGGCGGCTCGATGATCTAAGTATCCATCACTGCCTGGATGATCTGGCACTTGGCTTCAGAGAACCGCTGGGGTTTAGGAGAACTGGGTTTTTGAGGGCTGGGAACCCACAGTCTTAGGATAAGAACCAAAGAGAATCAACATGGTGATTTGCCTCTCTTCAATCAAAGAGCCAGATTAGATCAGTATTGCTCTCTGAAGAGAGACTACATGATGCCTCTTAATTATGGTGTGGCTTGACGTCTTTCTGAGTCATTGAGATTAAGTACCACGACTAGTTAAGTGCTTTCATTGGGCTTCCTGGACTTAAGCCAGAACCCACACTCTTAGAGGTGGACTTGATTTCGAGGACTTTATTAGTACAAGTCCTAAGTGTCGATTATAATCATTTAATGATATTTAGATACTACGATAGCGGATTAAATGAAGTACCTGATGTCACAAAATCTAAAACACTCAATCCCCAAGAAGACACAGAAAGACCTGCGGCACAGAAGTTCGTATCTCTTCCCTACCGTGGTCATCATATACAGTGCACTGCAGCACAATGGTCTTGGCAATGGGGTAAGGAAGTCAGTTCCAGAGGTTGTCAAGTACCATTTCCATACTCCCAGTAAACACCCTCCAGCCTGTCCAAGATTCATTCTGCTTGGTCATTAATCAGGAACCAGATGTCAACAAGGACATCAAACTGGTAAGCATGCACTTTAATGTAATTTTAGCAGTCAGCTGTGAATTACATGATCACCATATACTTGACAGAGGTCGTGAAGAGGTTGGCAAGGCACTGAGTGATTTAGCTTAAACTAATTAACAGCCATTCCAGCATACACAAAGTCCCCCACAATATCTGAACAGTTGGAGTTTGTCACTAATGAATATATTTTCCATGGCCATCTAGTCGACTTTAGTGATATTTACTTGCAATTTCTCAGTGTTATACTCATTTAAGTGTCATTCGCAAGGATGATACACAGCTATGGCAGGTATTTTTTCGTCTGTCTGCCATGATTAAAAGAAACAGCAAAGACGCCAGGACCGTGGTATTTTGTACTTCATTATATATAAAAGTTCGATGAAGAAGACCATTACGTCACGTGTGTTAGACATTTGGATTTATGTCAGAAATGATTCCTGGAGTCCGCAGAAGAACTAGAAAAGAGAAACTATACTTCCTCCACTTTCATGACGTTTAGTAGATTATTAAACAGTGATTCAAACTGATTTTTTAAGATTTGACTGATTTCTTTTCATAATTATTATATAATTTCCTGTGATCAGTAGGCCACTTCAAAAAAAATTATTTTAAAAAGGGCAAAATTTAATTTTTTTTTCAATTTACTGAAAAAGCTTTTTTGTTCCTTTGGCATTTCTTCCTTCTGACATGAACGCTTTTTATTTATACTCTTTGTTAATAACCTCTTGATAATGGTTATTTTCACTGTGTTGTGTAATATGATAGTTATGGATTAAACAAAGAACATCATCCACATGTCTGTACTGTTGTCTACTTCTGAACATTCTCCTGTTTTGTCTCTTAGTAAGTGTAGAGCCACAGTGTGGTGAGGACACATCTGTGACAACGCGAATCCCATAGGAATGACAGTATTGAAAAGAACCCACCGTGTTCTTTAGTTAACTGCTGGGAAGGGCTAAACCTGAATGGTTCCCTCATCGCCTGGGGAATGGGACTACAGGTAACTTGTAACCTACAAAAAGAGGAAGAGAGAGATAAACAGACAGGCCGTTGCAGCTCCTCTTCAGAATTTCCCAAAAGCACAGTGACATCAGCAAAAAGTAACTGTGACAACTCCCACTTTGTGTTAGATTCTTTGTCATCCAATCCGACACCTTTTCCTAACACCACTAACATTCGCTTCTCTTACAACTACATCTATAAATATACTGAACAACCACGGTAACAACGCATCCCTGTCTAAAGCATACTTTTACCGGAAAATAATCTCCTTCTATCCTACACACCATAATCTGAGCCTCAATATCCTTATAAAAACTAACTGCTTTCAGTAACCTACCATCTATTCAATAAACTTGCAACATCTGCCACATTGCTTCCCTATCCACCCTGTCACATGCATTTTCTAAACACACACACACAAACACATAGCCTAGCAAGTGATGTAGTGGATGCAGGAACCATACATAGCTTTAAGACGAGGTATAACAAAGTTCAGGAAACAGAGGACCTAGTAGCGATCAGTGAAGAGGCGGGGCCAGGAGCTGGGTCTCGACCCCTGCAACCACAATTAGGTGAGCACTTATTATATATATATTATATATTATATATATATATATATATATATATATATATATATATATATTATATATATATAATATACATATTGGCCGTTTCCCGGCAGGTTGGCCCGAGAAAGAAAAACAGTCATCATTCACTGTCTTGCCAGAGGCTTGCCTACATTACATTTTATAAAACTGCAACATTAACACCCTCCTTCAGAGTGCAGACACTGTACTTCCCATCTTAAGGACTCAAGTCCAGCCTACCGGTTTCCCTGAATCCCTTCATAAATGTTACTTTGTTCACACTCCAACAGCACGTCAAGTCTCCACTCGCTCCTAACACGCTCACGCATGTTTGCTGGAAGTCCGAGCCCCTCCACACAAAACCTCCTTTACCTCGTCTCTTCAACCATTCCTAGGCCGACCCCTACCCCGCCTTCCCTCCACTACAGATTTATACTCTCTCAAATTCATTTTGTTTTGCACCAACCTCTTTACATGTTCGAACTACCTCAACCACCTCCTCAGCTCTCTGGATAATACTTTTGGTAATCATGCACCTCGTTCTAATTTCCAAACTACAAATTCTCTGCATTATATTCACACCACACATTGCCCTCAGACATGACATCTCCACTGCCTCCAGCCTTCTCCTTGTTGCAACATTCACCACCCATGCTTCTCACCCATATACGAGCATTGCTATACTATCCTCTCATACATTCCCCTCTTTGCTTCCATGGATAAAGTTCTTGGTCTCCACAGACTCCTCAGTGCACCAATCACATTTTTCCCGTCATCAATTCTACGATTCACCTCATCCTTCATTGACCCATCTGAATACATTCTGAATACGTTCACTTCCTCCATACTCTCTCCCTCCAATCTGATATCCAATCTTTCGTCACCTAATCTTTTTATCCTCATCACCTTACTCTTTCCCATATTACTTTTAATTTTCTTCTTTTACAGACCCTACCAAATTCATCCACCAACCTCTTCAACTTCTCTTCAGAATCTCCCAAAAACAGTGTCATCAGCAAAGAGCAACTGTGACAACTCCCACTTTGTGTTTGATTCTTCATCTTTTAACTCCACACCTCTTACCAACACCCGAGCATTCACTTCTCTTACAACTCCATCTATAAATATAATGAAAAACCATGGTGACATCACACATCCTTGTCTAAGGCCTACTTTTACTGGGAAATTGCGAGTGATAGCTATGTGGGCAGATTCTCTGATTTTGCGTTTGTAGCTTCAGTGTGATTTGTGTTTGATGGTGGCGGCTTCCCAATGCATACTGTGACCGTTGATGCTGACATGTTGAAAAATGGCTGAATTATCCTGTGCATAACGTATTGTCCTTTGGTGTTCAATGATCCTTGTAGACAGTGCTTTTCCTGTCTACAGATTTGGGCCCAAATCATCAAATATTCTCTAGGATTAAATTATGAGGAGTCTTTCTCGCCTACTTTTCGAGAACAGATCGAGGGACTTCACGTGTTCCCCGTTATTCAGGTGCTTAACTGAATTTATATGGGCAGAAAGGTTTCCTGTACTTTATCCAGGTCTTCAGTTTCATCTGCCTTAATAATAGTGGCAATATTCCAGCCAAGAGTGAACAGCTGACTAAAGCAGAATTAAGATCGGCTTAGCATCTCCTGTTTTGAAATCTCTAGTTACTAACATACTATTTTCCATACGGGTATGAAAAAAATTGTAATTCTTCAATATTACATCACCTCCCCTAGGTCTCTCACATTAAATTTCTGTTCTGTTGAGTGATTAGAGTTTGTTTACTTCTCAGTCCCACCTTTATTTACTCAATCTTTCCACAGGGGAGTAGCTGAAATTTGTTCTCGCTGAACATACCGTTGTCAGCGGCCCACCGGAAGACTTCGTTTATGTTAGCTAAGAGGTTACAAAGTGTTATGCTGAAGTTACAGTTATAAAGGTTTTATGCTGAAGTAGCAACGTTAGCAGCAACTAAGGTTTCATGCTCCTGGTGTAGCAAAATTAGCATCTACAAAGATTGATGGTATTGATGTAGCAATGTTGGCAGCTACCA